CGCGCGTGATTGCTTAGCAGAGCACAAGGCCAGGCCTGTCTGCTGACTGTGGGAGACAGCAAAGCTGGGAGCTTTGTTGGAAGCACTGGTTATCACACGGCTCTGGATTAGAGCTTCGGAACGCCCTCGGCTAAGCACAGCCCAGGCAGCCTCCGCCGAGTCTCCATGCCCAGCCCTCTGAAGAGGGGACAGGGTTTGGAGAGGAAAGCACGATGCCCGGACCCGCCTGGAGCTCTCACCTTGCTGAATCTCTGCACCAGCACCTCGTGTTCCCACTGAAGATCCTTCAGTTCCTTCTGGGTGACTTTCAGATGGGCTTTTGTGCTCTGCAGGTGGGAAGGGACAGTTAAAGAGGGCAGATTTCCCTGGGAGGTGTGGGGCACATGTTCTGACAAGGGAGGAGAGTGACCAGTGAAGGGATATGGGCGAGAAAAAACAGGGATATGGGCGATAAAAAACAGGGAGCGCCCACACCAAATCCCTTCCCTCTCCGCAGTGGGGGCTGGTCTGGTTTCTCACCACCAGAGTCCCACCCCAGGCATTACAAACCCCCAGCTAAGCCGAAAAGGGACTCCAAGGACCTTACTCAGCTACCCAGCCAAGCTGAGGGGCAGAGGTCACTGCTGACTCCCCCAAACAGCTGGGGTGACTTGGGAAGGGACGGGGCAGGCCACTCACCGTCAGGATCTCCTTGTCCTGGTCATAGTAGGCCAACTTCTTCTGCAGCGCAGACATCTGCTTCTGGGCCTGCTGCAGGGGCTCCTTCAGCTGCTTGTTCTCGAGCAGCACATCCGCCTTCTCCTTTCGCAAGCGATTCTGCTTCATCTTCAGCTCCTTCATCTGCTCCTGTTCATGGGAACATGCCAACTCCTGGGGGCTGCCCAGGACACGCCTCCTGCTGCTGGCCCAGCTCCCTGGGCTCAAGAGCTTTGCTCAGGTAATGGTGTACAGCCCTCAGGAGAACAGCAGCATCCCCACTGCCACCCGAAAACCAGGCAGATCTGGGCGAAACCTCCCCAGGACCGGTCCCTTGGTGGCAGGGTGACACTGCGGGCTGGGCAGGCTGCAGCACGGGGGCAGGCAGTACCTTCAGCATCCTGATTAACGACAGGTTTTCGACGGTGAGATGGTTGTAGTAGGTCTTCATGTCAGCAAAGGCCTTCTCGTGGCCCTTCCTCAGCTCATTGATCTCGTTGTTCTTCCTCTCCTCCACCTTGTGGATGTCGGTCTTCCGCCGCAAGTCCAGCTTGTCTTGCAGCGCCTCCATCTTCTCGGTGTGCTTGGCCTCGATCTCTGGGGAAGCGCACAGGGGGACAAGTGATGACGCCCTGGGGACCCCGCGTGACACACCCTGGCTCTGTTAGCCAGCACCAGCCCGGCGCATGCCACCACGGCATTACTCGAGGACAAGATGCTCATTAGCTGCGTCACCGCAGCTGCCACCAGCGTGCAGAGCAGTTATGCTGGGACCACGGAGAGCAGAGCCTAGAAATAGCATCCTTGGAAAGAGGGCATGGAAACACTCCAAGTTAGCCTGTGAGAACCCGAAACGTCCCCTGAGGAGGACACTGGAGCGAGGACTCTGCAAGGGCTCCTCCAGCCACTCCACCCTGCAGCCTGGAGAAGTGCTGCCAGGCAGCTGCGCTCAGCCGTATGGCCTGGCAGCAGCCACAGGCCCCCTGCCTGCACCCCTCTGCCTGCACCCCTCTGCCTGGCCTCGCTCCACTTGCGTGATGCTGGGAGTCTGGCAACCCCAGAAAAGCCAGAACTGGGCAAAAAAACGGCTCCCTTCTGCTCAAGGCTCTGCTAAGGAGCCGGACATGGCGGCAGAGCTCGGAGGAGCCTCCCCCTCACGCTGACAAAGGGAGCTCACGCGTGGCCTGACCTTTCATTTCTCTCTCGAAGTCGTTGCGCAGACGAATGATCTTCTCCTCTTGTTTCTGTGAGGGAAAAGCCACGTGTTAGAGGCAGACAACCAAACCCTGAGTCAGCCGCGTCTCGAGGGAATCCCTCCAGCTCCCTGGGAAAGGCTCCCACCGTGGCACCAATCCCACGTTATCCGTGTGAACGGCGGCTGGTGGGTTCTCCAGCTGCTCTCAGCTCCCTGCTGTGGAAGGGGAGTTCACAGCAGCTGCCCCAGGAAGCCCTTCTCCCCATTCCTTCCCTGATTTTCTAGTGCCTCAAAGTGCACCTGTTACCGGTGCCTGCAGGAAACGCCATCCCAGCCCATGGAGAAAGCCGGGGAGGCAGGCTCCCGCTCACACCCTGGGGCTGGGAAGGCTCGGCCGGCAGTCCCACCACCTCCCTCTGCCTCAGAGGCACCGCACACACGGCTCCGGCCCAGCCAGGGACGTACCAGGTGCATGTTTTTCACCATCACCTCGCTGGCCAGCTCCTGCTCCTTCAACTCAGCTTTCAGGGAGTCCATGTCTCTACGCAGCTCCATCTCCTGGGCCCAGTAATCATTCTGGGCCTGCTTCATGGACAGGGCGCCCTCCACCTTCGCCTCGGTGAGGTTCTCCTGGTGTTCGTACAACAAGTGCTTCACCTTCTGCTTGTAAACCTAAAGACAAGCCACAGAGCATGTGAGGGGCTTCAGTCTGGGATACTGGCTGATCTGCTCCTGGCTAGCATCCTTCCCAGCTTCTCCTCCTCAGAGATGCCCGAGGGTCACCTGGAGCTTAGGGCACTCGCACCAACTCCCACCCTGATCTCCACTTGATGCCGCTGTTCCGCCTCCTCCATCTCCCGGTCCTTGTTCCGCAGCTCTGTTCTATTCTCCTCCAGCTGCTGGCGGGTTTTCTCCCAGAAGGTGTGAATCTTGTCACGCTCCAGCTGGAAGTAGTTGCGCTCTTCCCGTTCCCGGTCCAGCTCCTCCCGGAGACGCACAACGTGCTTCTCCAGCTGCAAAGTCAAGGGGAAGAGTCAGGTAGAGGGAAGAGGAGGCCTGGGACAGACGCCTCTACAAGAGACCCTGTGTCACAAACACGGCAGGATGTTGTGGGGGAGGGGAGGCGCCCTGACCCACAGACATGGCCCAGGACTGACAGAACCCAGCAGCCTCTGGAAAAGGAGTAACAAAACCTTATCCTGCTGTAAGCAGCCCAGGCTGTCTGGTAACACCATTTTTGGGTGCCTAAATACTACTGAATCATAGAATCATTTAGGTTGGAAAAGACCTTTAAGATCATCAAGTCCAATGTTAACCCAGCACTGCAAATTCCACCACTAAACCATGTCCCTCTGCACCTCATCCACATCTCTTAAATCCCTCCAGGGATGGTGACTCCACCACCTCCTTGGGCAGCCCCTTCCAACGCCTGACAGCCCTTTCCATGAAGAAATTTTCCTTTATATCAAATCTAAGCCTCCCCTGGCACAACTTGAGGCAGTTTTCTCTTGTTCTGTCACTTGGGAGAAGACACCAACTCCCACTCTCCATTCAGGGAGCGGTAGAGAGTGACAAGGTCTCCCCAGACCCTCCTCTTCTCCAGGCTGAACCCCCCCAGCTCCCTCAGCTGCTCCTCACAGGAATTGTGCTCCAGACCCTTCCCCAGCTCCGTTCCCTTCTCTGGACACACTCCAGCCCCTCAGTGTCTGTCTTGTAGTGAGGGGCCCAAACTGACCCCGGGATTCGAGGTGCAGCCTCACCAGTGCCCAGTACAGAGGGACCATCCCTGCCCAGGTCCTGCTGCCCACACTGTTCCTGATGCAGGCCAGGATGCCCTTGGCCTTCTGGGCCGCCTGGGCACACAACGAGGTGCCCAGGCCAGAGCCATCTCCTCCTCTGTTTGTAGGACACTCAGAAAAACAAGCGCGACTTGGAACAACTGAGGTGCAGCAGCTGCACCTTCCACCTCTACCTGCCCTCCCCACGGCTACGGGAACCTGTGTCCCAGCAGCGTGACCGAGAGCGCAGCAGGCTGCAGTCCCAGGGCTCCAGGCTGAGCCATCACCCAGCTGAGAAGGACGACGGCGTTACGGAACCGGGGAGAAGACAGTGAGGGTGCAGGGATGAAGAGGAGGGTGCCCAGAGCAGTGGAAGGGAGGGTGGGATGAGTGGGCTGCTCCTTCCAGAAACAGTCAGAACCCCCACACAGCCCATATGGGCATCAGGCAGTGAAAAGAACCCCGGCTGCTTTTCTCTGTCACCCTCTGCCACCTGTCACCCCTGGAGACAGGCATCAAGCAGGGGTCCCCAGCACCGTACTCCAGTGCCCTCCTACCCAGGGGTCGGCTGGGAGACCTCTCACCTGCTCCTTGCTCATCTTCTTCAGGGAAAAGGCATCCACCACTGGAGCTTTGCGCCCTTTCTCTTTTTTTACGACTTTCTTTTTGGGTGC